CGCTTTACGTTTGGAATCGTAGTGTATTAAACTTTCGTCCTTCTTCTGAGTTGCTCCCTGGTTGGGATGAAGACGCCCAAGTACATCTGATTTATTTAAAAATAGAGTGAAAGAGTAAAGGAACATGTAATGAATGAGGGGGTGGGGTTAAAGCCTCGTTAGCTTCTACTGAGCGCTCATTAGGGCAGACGCTGGGTGGACGTCTTGCTGTGCCAGTATCTTATGCTCACAGTACCTTGCTGGGCTGCCTGAGTTAGCAAGCAAGGAACAGAACATCTATCTCTGGCTGGTGTAGCTCAGTGGATTGAGTGCGGGCTATAAACCAAAGGGTTGCCGGTTCAAGTCCGTCCCAGTCAGGGCACATGCCTGGGTTGTGGGCCAGGTCCCCAGTGGGGGCATGCAAGAGGCAACCACACATTGATGTTTCTCTCTCTCTCTCTCCTTCCCTTTCCTATCTCTAAGAGTAAATAAATAAAAAAAATTTTTTTTAAGTCTAATTAAATTTGAATTTCACATACCAAACCATGTTTTAGTATAGATATTTCCAGACATTTATACTAAAATTGTTACCAGAGATTGGCGTCCTGCTGCCCAACGCCACCCTGTAGGCAACATTCCATTGACAAAGGTTTAGTGATAAGGAAAAGAGTCTTTTTTAATAAAGCTTCGGGATTTTGGAACAATAGCTTTCCACTTGCATTAGTCACTTAAGCCTATCAATCTACCAACTAATGCTAATCTCTTTAACTCTTTATTACAGCTTTATTCACTTAAACCTATCAATTAAGGCTAAACTCTTAACACCTGAGTTCTATCCTCCTGTTTTTAGTTATCTTATTTCTATAGGGTTCATTTAAAAACTAAAGCAACGTGAGATACAAAAGTTAACATAATTTTGGAAGAATGGCAGGCTTCTGCCTCAGACCTGGTCCCCTCTAGAACACCCAAACAATAAACCTGCCGCCCTCTGCCAGGCCAGCCCCATCCTAGGCTGTGCAGGGAGTTCCCTACCATCCAAAACACCATCTGTCAGTTGAGAAATGCAGGCAGCTGCTGCACACCATCCAGGCATCTGCGAGGAAGGTGAGCCCAGGAGCCAGATGCTCTCTGGAGCCATCAGCTTCTCAGCCAATCCCATCCTAGACTATTTACCGTTGCCTCCGCAAACTCCTCCTGAGGCCCCTCCCTACTTCTCCGCAGTGCTCTGATCAGATCTCTCTGCATCAATAGTACTGTTCTTACAACTTCTGAAATGAAGTGTCTTAGGGATCAACACAGGCATTGCTATGTCATTTTTGGGAGCAAGTTATAGCCACTTTGCCAATATTTTATGAATTTCAAGCATTCTGGTACCAACTTTATAATTTTTGACATATCTGATCATCAAACTACCTAAAACATTTGTCCCCGAATTTTTAAAAACGAGGTTTATTTAAATATAGTTTCTGTACAGTGTACCTTCTAGTTGTACAGTTAGGAAATCTTACATACATTCACCGTGAAGGTAGACTAGCTCCATGCCAAGGTGTCCCCTCATGCCCAAGTCAATCCACTTGTCCCCACACACACTGTCAGAGGCCAACCACTGGTGTGGCTTCTGTCCCCATAGTTTTGCCTTTTCCAGAATGTCCTAAGTGGAATCCTATATAGCTTTTGGGGTCTTCTTTTCCTTTAAATATTGTATTTGAGATTCACCATACTTTTACATGTATCAGTAATTTGTTCCTTTTTACTGCTGAGAATTCCATTGAACGGATGTACTAGGGGTTTAAAAAAAATCCATTTGCCAGTTGACAGACATTGGAGTTGTTCCAGATTTCCATGAATGTAACTACAGCCATTATAAACATTCATATACAGGTTGTTGTATGGATGTAGGTTTTCACTTGTAAATACCTAGGGGTGAGATTCTTTGGTCATGTGGTAAATACATATTTTTCTGTACGAGAAAGTGCTTGGGTTTATCTGCGCTTCCTGGATCTGTGGTTAGTCTTTCATGATATTTTGAAAACTGTTAGATGTCATCTGTTCAAATATTCTTCTGCCCAGTTTCTTCTCCATCTAGAACTCCAATTACACACGGCAGACCCTTCAGTAGGTACTCTCCCACAGGTCTTGAACACTTTGTTGCTGTTTCACTCTTGGTAGGGGGGGTCAGTTTGAATCATATCTATTGACCCATCTCCAAGTTCCCTAGTTATTCTTCAGCTATGACAAGTCTACAATATCTAGAAGATATTCTTCATCTCTGATCTTGTGGTTTTTATTTCAATTTGTCTTACGTAGTTTGTCTTTGCTGAACTCTGCTCACACATTACCCACATTGTCAACTAGACCCTTCGACATGTTCATCAGAGTTGAAGTCCCTGTTTGATAGTTCCTGCATCCGAATCATACCTGCACATGGTTTCATTGTCCATGAAAAACGGGTTGGTTTTTCTTTGTGTATCTTTTTTTTTCTTGATTGTCAGTCAGTGCTTACATAACAGTAGCAACTGGATAAATAGTAGTGATGCTTGGAAATGGACAAGCGTCTTCTGTTGTCAGACTGTGTGTGTGGGGTTTGGTCCATCTAATCAGGAATTGAGCTGGGTTGGGGGTTTGTGTTGCTATGGTTGCCTTGAATATCCCACAGCTTTCACCCTCCAGCATTATTTTGTGCTTTAAGTTGGAACTGAAGAACTTTTCCCGACTGTTCATATTTCATCCTCAGTGTCCAACTGTCTGGCACACCTGCACCATGGCAGCCAGTCTCTGCCTCCCCTCGCCCCCAACAGCTAATGTTTGTTCCTAGCAGCTTGCTAGGTGGGTGGTGAGGGAGCAGTCAGAGTTGTTTTTTTTGTTGTTGCTGTTGTTGTAATTCAGCCTCAGTCTTTAATACGTTCCTTGAGGACAGGTTTTGGGAACCGGTCTTTTCTCAGTGTGGCAGCTGCTCCTCTCTGTGGCAGCCGAAGCCTGACTTGTAGGGGCAGCTGGTCTCGCGCAGCAGTTTGCTGCCCTTCTTGTAGTGGTAGATCTTGAAGGGAATTGGGACAGCATCCTGGGGCTCAGGGTTGCATCTTGTCGCTCCCAAGGTTGAGGTTTTTTCTTAGCTCACTCCAGCAGCAATGAGAGACTGGCTTTGCTCCTCCCCCAGTGGCTTAGGCCTGTTTGCTCCTTAGGAGAGAAGGGCCTGCGCAGGGCAGGGCAAGGCTTCCTGCCTTCCCCAAAGTGGTGGCAGATCCCTCCCACAGGCCTCGGAACCCAAGAAGGCTCAGTAGCACTGGGGCACCACTCCCTGTCCCCGCGGGTCTTTCTTGTGGACACCTGGTGGACGTGGTGAGTGCATGCAGGCTTCAGTGTCTGAAGCTCTTAGGGGTCCATCCTGCCACGTTAGCCCAAAGTTGGCCTTGAACAATTCCTCACTATTTTAGTTGATTTCCTCTTACCTGCTCAGGCGGCAGCCGACACTTCCGCCTCCTGTGCTCTGCTACACGCAGGTGAGCCAGCCTGCAGGGCTGCCCTCTCTCGCCAGGGGTCTGTCCTCCTCGAGACTCAGCATTTGACTGCTCTGCCACTGCTCTGCTCCGACAGCCCCAATAAAACTTATTTTTGTCATCTATCCACCTTCACTTTTTTTTAGCGGTGGGGGTGACACTTTCCAGGTTTCTGCATCATAGGCAGCAGTCACTCTTATTTTACAAGGAAACTTTGATCACTTCTGTAAATAGAGAATTAGTGTCACATTTAGATGTAGCCTTAAAAACAAGTACAAGAAAATGGAACATTTTTAGTAAATAGCTACCATTGTCTGCCAAAGGCTCAGCCAGAAGGCTATGTTAAAAAAAGAGAATGAGTGTTAGATGTGACAAACATAATTCTGAGTATTGATGCTTTTTCCTTTATTTAACTGGAAGGAGGGGAGCAGGGGGACATGAGAAGAAAACAGCTTTCTCACTTGAGGTCATTACCTTGTGCAGCCGTCTAGCATCTAGAGTGAAATGTTTCACCACAGGTGTCCCTGACCATAGGAAAATGGGGATAAATGAAGCATGACAGTCCCCCCCTTATCTACGTGGGTCACCTTCCCAGACTGCCAGCAGAGGCCTGAAACCGTGGATAGCACTGAACACTGTACTGTTTTCTCCCGTACATACACACCTCTGCACTTCAAGGAAGCAATTCATGGCTTCTCCTTGGCATATCCCAATGCCAGCTTTACTCCTGTGTACTTCGGGGCCATCATGAAAACTAGGGTGACCTGAACATGAGTACTGAGATACTACAAGTCGATCTGATAAACAAGACAGCTCCTAAGTGACCAGCAGGCATATACAGCATGGACAAAGGGATAATTCATGTTGTGGGTGGGATGGACTAGGATGGAGTAAGATTTTATCACGCTACACAGAATAGCGCACAATTAAACATTTATGAGTTATTTCTGGAATTTTTCATTTAATATTTTTGGACCACAGCTGAACGTGTCGAGGGAGTAGAGAAATGGGACTGAACAGGGGTGTGAGGTCAAGTTCTTTTTTAAGGTCAGAGAAATCATAACAGTGCTGGAAAGAATGCAGGAGAGGGCGGGGAAAATACGTCCTTGAGCAGGTACGAGGTGAGATAGAGGGCACTAAGTGGTGGGGCGTTAGGCAGGAGCGTGAACAGTTCGCTTCTGTACAAGGAACAAGAGTCGTATGAGTACAGAAGCGGGGTGAGTGGGCTACTTGTTGGAGCTGGGCCATTCATATATTTTAAAGTTTATCTTTGGGAGCCACCACCCAGGACAGAAGCTGGTGGAGACCTAACAAATGTACCATTTACATAATGGTTCAGGTAACATCTACCCATTCAATATTACAGTGAACCCACTTGATATAAAGTTTTAGCTTAGTTCATTTAAAGAAATGGAGGAAGGGAGCAAAGTCCACCGGCTCTCATACTAACTCTCTGGACTCCACCTGTCTTCTTACTCCGAGCCATGCTATTACAGTCAGTCTTCAAGAAACCAAACAAAGACATTCGGGCTTTGTCTGCTTTATTTGACTACAATGAGTTAAGCAATAAGGCAAAACAAGAATTTGTCATTCATAAAGATCAAGGAGTGCCTCTTATTCCGACAAGGGACCAAAAAGGTTTCTTCACAAATATGCATGACATTTAGCTCATTACGCCTACAAGCACACTGAATAAAATTTTGGTGGGCTAATCAAGTCACAAATCCAAATTAACTTCATCTTAGGTTTCCCAAACCGTAGTCTCTAGTGCTACTGACCTCTGGTTCGCCCGCAGTGGTGCACAATGACGTTGCATCACAAATCTCGCACCACATCTAATGCACAAAAGCGACACATAAGTTTTGAATTTACCAGCTGCAGGTGCTGAACCATTTCTACTAACACACGGAACACCAGCCTGCACTGAGGACTATCTTGAGGACGTACTAAACAAATAGCTCTGTTACTCTGCCAGTTAATTTGGCTTCTAAAGGAAACAAATTCTATTATCGAAAGTGTTTTTGTGTTTGTGTCACAGGGGATGACGAGACCCATTTGTTTAATAGTGTTCCCTTCAGGAACCAACACCAGCTCGGCACCATGGGTCCACACACACCCGTGTGCAGCCGCTGCAAACGTGTAAACTGAGAGCTCGTCTCCACGGCGATGTCCTTTCCTCCACTGGCAAATGGGAGCAGCGACCTCACAGCAGATTCTAGCAGGCAGTGAAATAAAAATTAACTTGACACTCTGTGGAGTCACAACAAATTAAACTATTTCTAGAGTTTGCAGGTTTGTAATTACATAACCTCTGCCCCAACTTTTAAGAGGCTAAACCTTACTTATTATTGTCACAATATTAACACTGCAGCATGTATATTACTCTGTGGAACATTATTTCATAAAATTGGCTTGACCTTAAGAATATCACTTAGTGTCTTTCAAAGGCTTCCTAAATTTTATCTTCCCAGGGAGCTGACAAGATACAATGTCCTATCTATATTTCTAGATTACTATCTATCTTAATTTCTCCTCTTTAAACTCAAGGCTTGAACTTGAAAACCAAACCAGGGTGAACAGGAAACTTCTCCATCCACCAGCTGTCCACTTGCTAACAGTGCATTTACAGAAAATGTGCTGGTGCAGCTGGCGGTCCACTTTGTCAACTCTCATTCCAGAAAACGTCACAAAACTTAAGTGAACAACCGAACTCCAGGATGCAGAGTGAGGACAGGACGTGCGCTGTCAAGCGAGTGCACGGGGCTACTCGCTGAGCTGTGTGATGTTTACAATCGACACGGTCTCATTTGACACACGTGGTAACAGCCACACTCAGGAAGGGGAAGGTTCTTTGTCTTCATATCCAGTTTGGGTTCAGGAGGTAACTGTTAATCTCCCCTTCGAATCAGAGGAAAGAACATTAGTTCAGATCATGCTAACAACCTAACCTTTGAAGTGTTTCCTGCATTCCAGAAGTGAACTTGTCCACAAGTTTTCTTTGGGCTCTTTCCAGGTCCCAAACACTCAGAACAATCTACTGAGTTAGAGAGGCAGGGCAGAGAAGGGGAGGGGAGTAGGACGTACACAGACTGCCTCCCCGTGGAAGCATTAATCCCTGGATACTGTGGCAACACTTAAAAATAAATGGAATTTGCCACCCCCTTGACATGACATGTAAATGCCTGCTTATCAAATTCTTCTTAAAAAAAATCTATATTCTATTGGGGAAAAATTTTAAGAGCAACCAATAAAAAAGTATCCTGTATTCACTCAGAAGAGGGCAAATGAGAACCCTTAAAACTTCTCAGGGTTTTCCAACTGTCACAAAACTAAAGACAATGTGGCAATTCTATTTTCGTCAAACGGAAGTCTCTGGCATGACGGGAGCCCCGACGGCGACGGAAAGGACGCGTTTAGATGGCTAGGTTCGATCTAATGGGACGCAGGAAGCAGGTGGTGCACTGAGGCCAGTGTCGGATAGTGACCAGCAGGTCTTCCTTTCTGTAATCATTTTAGGTTTCCTCTGCGAGAGTCTGATCCTCTGTGCGGTCTGATCAGGAGACAGTCTGTGGAGTCTGTCAAGTGTAAATCTAACGCCACTCCAAGGAACAGCCGCCACCCCCGTTCTCGGGATGGAACTGTGCTGTGGTTAGTCAACGTGCAGGGCTCAGTGAGGGAGACACGATTTACTGGTGCTAACAGAGTGAGAGCAAGAGGAACAGCAGTTGCCCCATGTTCCTAAGGCCGCGCCTGCCCCCGCCCTCCAGGGAACAGGATTTGGTAGTGCGTGGGTATATCGTTATACACAAGGCCTGAAGCAGCAGCTTCTGCGTTTTACACGGGTTTGTAGTGATACCATTGTTCGGAACCTGCCCACCAGTGAAGCCTTCTAAGGAAGAAGTGGGCCCAAGCTGAGTTCCACATGCTGCGTGAGCCAGATGACTTCGGTGGCCTGGTCACTTTCCTCGATGGGGCGGATGGGGGCTGCCAGGTTTTTAAAATCATGCTTCATCTTAAAGCACACGGTCACTTCGCCCTCCTCACGCTGTGGGGTCACTTTGATGAAAATACCCACTTTGTTGGCCTTTCTGAAGGCGATAATGCTGTGGAAGGAAACAAGCACAGCATTAGGTCACAAGTCAGCCAAGCCACTGAGACTGACAGTCATTTTACGGCCCAACAAGAAATCTTTGATGACAAGATATAACCACCCTCCCATTTATCAGCAATGAAGAGTTTCTTCACCAAAATGTTGATCTCCTTATTTTTTAAATGTTACAAAAGTAAAATATAGTCTCACAAATTCAAATGAGAAAACGTAAAAGTCTTCCCCTTATTTTTCCCTTCACTGGAGAAAAACTGCAAACACTTTGGTTCCTAAATGACCACTTATTTTTGTGTTTACATTTTTCTGCTTTTTTAACCAACACAAACGGGACACACTATTCTGCAACTTGCTTCTTCCCACTGCCCATCACAAACACCTTTCCACACGGGACACAGAGATCTTCTCCACCCCACTCAGTGGCTGCCCAGCCCTCGGTTCCACATTCACCGACTGGCGTGCCCCTCGGCTGTCGCCAGCGTTTCTGTTACAAACGCAAGGCGCTGCACCGGCCCTTCCACGTTCACCTCCATGCACATGTGGCCATGTTTCCACAGGACAGGCTGATCACAGCTCGGAGCCAAAGGGATTTCTGGAACACCGTAAATCAGTGTTTTTGTAAATAACCTCTGTAAATTAGGAATTTTTAGAATAGGAAAAAAATCTCTTCAGTTGAGGTTTCTATTTCACTTTTCTCTGACATGCACTTGAAGTTTGTACTTTAATAACTTAGCTTCAAAAACTAATGAAATAAACAGAATTTAATCTACTGTTCAAATGAAAATCTTAGAAAAGTTACTGGAATTAAACATTTACATATTTAAACAGTATTACATAATATTTACAGATATGCAAAAATCCTATAAAGTATAGTAATGTAAAATATAATTAATTCAAGTTTATCAATCTGTCATGTAATTAACTAGAATTTGGTATCCTGGATGATCTTTCAAGAAGTTGACCCTGGCTTAACAAATTTATTTACCAAATTACTGTAATTTAAGGACCCACATAAAGCAAAAGATTACAGAGAATGCAGTTTGTTTTGTAGTTAACTAATTAAACCTTTGATTTGTATCAGATTCATTTTTTTAAATTCAGTTAAAAATAGTAGAAAGGAAAAAGTCAGTCTCTCTATTCTTAATTTCCCAGGCAACCATTGCCATCTAAAAAGGCTAAAAAAAAAAAAGAAAAGGAAACAGAAAAAGCCAGCCCTGGCTGGTATGGCTCAGTTGGCTGGAGTGTCGTCCTGTAAACCCAAAGGCCACGGGTTGATTCCCAGTCAGGACACAGGCCTAAGCTGCAGGTCCATTACCCAGTCGGGCGTGTACCACAGGCAACTGATGGACTGCCTCCCTATCCCCCCTCTAAAATCAGTAAGCATACCCTCAGGCGAGAATGTAATAAAAAACCAGATTTCTGGTGCCTCCCCTAGGCCTACTGAGGAGAATCTCTGGGGTGGAGCCTGGGACTCTACAGACAACAAAGGAAAACCACCCGTCCACCGTGGCACTCTCCCAACTTGACCCATTTGCTAAGCACTGTACTAATCTCACCTGTGCCCTCACTTTCTTTCCCCACCCCATCCTATGTTCTCTCTTCTTTCCAATATCTTGCTAAGGGAGCTTTTGATCATTCTGTTACAAAGCCTTGAATACTCCCTGTGCCAGGATATTAAGCTATTGCTTTTCAGCTCTAAGCTCACCCTCTACATCAGGGATGTCAAACTCATTTTCACTGGGGGCCACATCAGCCTTGTGGTTGCCTGCAGAGGGCCAAATGTAATTTTAGGGCTGTATAAGTGTAACTACCCCTTAACTAGCAGCAAGGAGCTCCGCACTGCCACCAGGTAGAAACAAGGTTAGGGCCGGATGAAACAAGGTGGAGGGCTGGATTCCGCCCGCGGGCCTTGTGTTTGCCACCTGTGCTCCACATCTTGCTTTGTGACCCAGGACCATGCAAGCACATTTCTGCTCTGCAGGCTGGCTCCCTTAGTGGTGTCGGGGTCCCGTTAGGGGGCTCTAAAGGGAGCCCAGAACCTGCAGGAGGCAGGGGCCTCCCTGTGGGCTTCCTGTTTGTGAGCGGTTCCCATGGGCATCCCTCCAGCTACACTCCTTCACCCCGAAAGTGGCAGCAGCCAGCCGAAATTTTCTGACTCTTGTGTAACTGGCTTTACCATGCATGCCTGCAGAACACTGTCCCCTCTCTTACTTCCCCACAGGTCTGAAGTTTAGCTCCATGGGGCTCTTCCTTCAAGCTTCTCAACTTTAACAATTCTGTCTCCCTTTGTTCCCTCAGCCCTGGGGTGGTAGCTGCTTCATAAAATTGCCATCTCTGAGATACTTCTGAGTTCTCTGTAACCTTTGAAGATACCCAGTTAACAATTCTTTGTATTAAATCCTCCCTGCTCAGCTAATGTGATTTCTGCCTTTAGAATGGATGCAGACTGATGCATTCCCCATTCAGGAAAAGGCTTGGTTTTTTACTCTTCAGTTGTTACATATGAGAGAGTAAAATCTATTAATTACTGTAGGAGAGCAAGGGTAGGGGTGGACAAACCCAGTGACAATCTATACGGTATTGCATTCGGTTCCCAACCTGTGTTCTGTGCCCAGCCATTATAAATCGTGCGCCTGGAATGTTTTTATTAACATGGGAAAATACACTGATGTGAAAAAATGAATGTTCAAACCACGTGTTTACAGAATGATACTGATGGCGAAAGGAATCTACAAAAGGACAATCACCAAAATGTTAATGATACTCATCCCTGGCAGCTGGATTTTCTTCTCTTCTTCATGGTTTTATATATATTTCCCAAATTTCTACAGTAATTATTTTATAAGAAGAAAATAATTTTTTTAAAAAATCCAGATTAAAAAATGGATTTGAAAGTGGGTCTCCTGCGTCAGCCAACTATAGCATGTGGGTCACAAGAAGCTCACTCACTCGGGGTCGTCCTGGAAGTCCTGGGGCTCGGCCAGCTCATCATACTCAGCTGCGGCGTCCTTGCCAGCCAACACAAGCTCTTTGGGGGGCACCGCCACCTGGAGAGCAGCAGAGAGAGGCCTTCCTCAGAAGAGGCCAGTGCACTGTAGAGCGTTCATTCAGCAGCACACGGAGAGCATGACACTGATCCAGACACTCAGAAGTAATTAGCAAGACTCAAGAAACATACAGCATTCTGTCACTTAGATGGAGGGACACGGGCCTTTGCTATGTTATTCTTCAAACTCTGTGGTATATCTAAAACAGCTCATTATTTTCTTTAAAAAAGAAGAACACAGAGGTGAAGCCCTGGTTCCAACGCAGCACTTTCTGACATGGGGTGATGTGCACGGCCCTGGGAGCCGGTGCGGCGCTCCTCAGGCCTATCCGTGCGTGCTGAGCAGGCTTCAGCTTCGCCACGTCACAGGTAAGGGACAACAGTGCCAACTTCATTTCTAATTACAGGTACAAATGTGACTGGGGAGGTGGAAAGAGAAATAAAAATAGCAAATCCACAAGCTGGGCATTTCCATCAGGCACTTCTGTCTCTATCATTATTAGACCAGCTTGGTGTTGTCTTAAAAAAAAAAAAAGGCCAAGGAAAGATGTGTGTCCTCTCTCTTGGGAAGCAATGCTAATAAGTGAAATGGTAAGTGCTCCACTAAAGGACTACAAGGAAGGAAGCCCTCATAAATAAAGCACAAGGAGAAAAAGAAAAGAGGGATAAAGAAATCTTCTACTAGTATTATTTGAATTATAGAAATGAAAGACAGATATCTTTGCTACCAATTTTTATTAATGAACATCACACAAAATTATGAGTCAGTAATAGATGGTCTACAGAGAAAAGTTTTTTATCTAAAATTTCAAATACCAAATTAATCACCACAGAGTAAAATGTAGAAAGGTCACATTTCATTCATAAACTAACACTGAGAGTCGAAATCTCCCACTTTAATCTTCACTCAGTGCTGGGTGTCCTCTTTGCAAGCAGAAGGCACCTGGAGGAGCACCCCAGCCTGTAAAGGAGGTCTTAGTTCCTGTGAGTCTTGAAGACTGAGCGTGCACTAGACTAAAGACAGGCGAGGGCACGTGTGCCAGGGGATGGGGACAGGAGGGAGGCATTCTAAATAAAACGGACAGCACACGCACTTCTCCAGCACGAAAGCGCACAATCCACTGGCTCTGCCTGGAGCACAGTCACTGCTCCGCAGGTCTGGAGAGTGCCAGACTTGCGGACCTGGGGGAAGACCATCTGATAGGACAGACAGAGGTAAGGGCATTACGGAGCTCTTCTGCTACACCAAAGAATGTGAATTTCATCTCAAAGTCAGAGGAATGCCAAACAATCAGCATGTCATTGTCAAAGTTAGATTTTAGAAAGACCATCCTGGTGGCAAGACCAACGATGTGAAGGAGAGCAGAGGTAGCCCCAGAACAGCGAGGTCAGTTAGGAAGCTACCATCCAGGTGAGAAACGAGGAGTCCTTCAACTAGGGCAGCGGCAGCTGTGTGCAGATGCAGTAAGACCTTAGGAGGTAGAGCCAGAACTGAGGACTGCTTGGATGTGGGAATGAGAGACAGTGGGGAGTCCCTTCAGCCAGGCCAGATGAAGTTGCACAGGGTCAGGCAGGATAAGGCACAGTGCTCCTACCTTAGCAGTGCTGTTGATATTGTCAGGGTCCCCCTCATCGCACTCCAGCAGCGTCACGTGGGTGAGGTTCTCCACCGGATTCGTAAGAGTCAGGAGGACCTGGCTCTCCTATGAAACGGGAAAAGTGCCCCTCAGACATGTTCCACTACTGCCACCGGGCCCCTTTCTTAGTTGCTACACCAAGTATTTCACAAAATCCTCACCCACCTTCCCCAATTACTCCTGAGCAAGAACACCCACCCACACCTTTCCATCACTACTTTCTCAAAGTGCTCGCTCATTCCTAGTCTACTATTTATATGTTAGGCCATATACTCTCTAGAGTTGCTCTTCCACCTAGGAAATGAGACATCCTGTAGAAAGGGCCAGTCACTAGATCCAGAATTCTAAGGAATGTATATAGTCTAAGTGATTATTTAAAGTTTACAACTCTTGCTCCACCCAGTCCTCCACTTAAGGCCTAAAAGGAAGGAAGCCCTCAAAAATAAAATACGGGAGCCACAGCCTTGTCAGATTACCACCACAGAAAAAATGGCACATCAAGACTGTAGAAGACTTTTAAGGTTTTTTGCTTGCCCTTGTTTTGTACGCTCTTGAGATCAGCAAAAACATCATTAAAACGAGCAGGGACTTTATAAAAGTCTTCATGGGCACCACAAAAAGGAAGAACTAAAGAGGCTGCTGCAGACGATTCTACAATTCCTCAGGGGGGAGTGGTGGGAGGAAGGGGCACAGATAAGGACTCAAAGCACAGGGGGCGGTGGTAAGGAAGAAACCGGGGTGATCCCTGGTATCTGCTCCAGCGCACCGTGAGAGGATGGAGGAGAGCTACAGAGGCCCGTGGGGTTCGACCTCTTCCTTCTCGCCACCCTCGACTCCCTCTCTGTGCGTGCACACTGCTCCATCCACAGGTGTCCCTGTCAAGACTCCCAGCTTAAAGAAATTTAAAGTCTCAGTCCCTTTATTGCTCCAAACTTTCTTCTTTTCTACAGTTTGCATCCCATGCCAAATACACACAGCCACCCCCACACACATCTTCCATCAGTGAATTCTTTCTTTTCCTACTAACGAAGCGAAGTACTAACCTTCATGTAGCGAAGGTTGGGAATCGACATGATTCTCACTTCTGGGATATAATTGCTGTGGATCAATAAAAAATGCATTAATGGTCAATGGAGACTCATAAAATTATTACCTTTTTTTTAGTTAGTGCAGCAAAGATTTCTTCATGTTAATTAAAACATGTCAAATAAAAATTTTTAGAGAACTGTATTACCACTACAGTAAGAACTTAAGGCATGGACCGAACTGGTAATGAGTTCTTTCTGAAATCGTATGTATACTTCAGGCTTAGAGCCTATAGATATATAAGTATCACGGACGATATGTTCCCTATGTATTTATTATAATTGTTTTTGAGATTATGATTTAATCATACATTGTAGGAACATAAAAACCCTACTGTATACTTTTATACAGTATGTATAAGTGTTTGTGCCAATGTTTGAAGCACTTCACAAATACGAACTCATGTACTCTTCACCGCAACTGTGTGAGACGAGCATCATTACTACCCCCATTATACAGATGAAGCAACTAGCCTTAGGACGAGAAGGAACTTGCTGGTAAATGGCCAGGATTCAAACCCAGGCAGCCAGGGCTCCAGGGTCCTTGCCCTTACCCGCTGGGCTGTGCTGCCTTTCTAAATGAGGCCAATGACTTGTACTCACATGTGTTTGTTCTGGACTCAAAGCTGTCCAGGTTCAAACCCCAGTTCAGTATTTATATACCAAGATACTCCTATGTAAAGACCAGGGAAAGATATTTACCTCATTGTGTTTTGATTTTCTCAATTTTAAAATGAAGACATTAATCGTATCTACATCTTGAGGTTATTGTGAAGAATACATTAAGTGGTATATGTAAAAGTACTTGGAACAAAGTACTCATAAATGTTAGTAATTGTGCATATATTAACGTAAGACAAAATCTATTGCAGAGACATTAAAAGTGGGGGTGGAGGGGCAGTGAACTTTAAAATAGAGGTAATAAGGTATCTTAGCTTCAGACTAGGTACTTTTTCATGCTGGCCATCAGATTTACCCTAATAACTTAATACAAATTCAAAGGCCCCATTATCAAGGATTTGGATTTAGCAGAGCACATGTACTAAGATTCCCAGGCGCTACTGCCATGATGTCAGAAAAAAGGCACTTTTCCTCAAAGCAAGCTTAAGAAGCTAATGCTAGGTATGACCTGCCATTCAGGGTTTCCATCAGGAGCATAATTCTTAACTGAGAAAGGCGTTCACACCAGGCTTCACATGGACCATTTTCATAGCTTCCTTCCTTGCTAACCAGTCATGTATTAAATAATAGGGAAACAGAACATACTTTATGGTGATTTATAAGCTATAACTATAAAGCATTTGCAACACAACAGCTCAGCTCATTCCTCTCACAACCCTGAGCGGGAGGCAGGACTGGTGTTCCCATTTCAGAGACGCGGGAAGTGAGTCTGACAGAGCAGGTGACAGGCCCCAGGCTGGGCCCTTCCAGTTCCTCCCCCCTCGCTCGGCAGACCAGCACTCCTCAGCCTTCCGACCGCCGGGGGCGCTTGAACTGCTACATAACACTCTCTGGTACTAATGTCATCTCGACAGTCAACTATTTCTTTGTTAATGGTCGATGAGCTTGTCAATGAAATCATTCCCAGCTTCTGTCAGTAAAATGCTGTAATATACATCCTTATAAATGTAGCTTTACACATTGGTGCTTTTGATTCTCCAGAATAGATTTCTGGGATGGTGCTGCTGGGTTAAAAAGTCTATGTAACTTTGTCTTGATATTCCAGACCGTTCCCCAACAAGACGAGCAGATACGAGCCCACTGTCGATGTGTGCAAATGTCTACCCACTCTCACAAGCACCAGATGCTCTTTATCTTTTCAAGCTTTTCCCAACATGTCTCAGCATCTCTCCATCCAGCATTTACTGGTCCACTTGGAATTCCTCTTCTGTGAGCTGCCTATTCAAGTCCTTTCCGATTTATGGGAATTCTGCATTTCAGAGTGTTAGACTTTTATGTGTAACGAAATGGCAAATATTCTTTCCCATTCTACTGTCTGAGGACTTAGTTGTTGTGGCTTTTGAGTTTCCTGCCTTACTTAGGACGGATTCTCTCACCTTAAAGTCAAGAGAGTATTTTCCTAATTTTCCAAAATATTTTTCTTGTTTGACAGGTGATTTTCATACACAAAAATTCCCTTTCTACTGACAAGTCTCAGTGCGTTAACACTAACCACTTTTATCCCATGGGGTGAAGCGTTATTAGAACAGTTACATAAAATGAACATGGTTACGGGGATACTCTCCGTTATACACTGATTATTTTTTTTTCCGTTTTTCAAAAGATCGTTTCCAAACTTTGGTACTTTATAATTTGTAATGAGTGACGAGTGACTCTCCACCCCATCACCAACACAACCCCTGGCCCCAGACCACACTACCCCCTGTCACTGATACAGACACGCTCTGTAGTCTATCTACAGACCTGCCTTGACCTTCAGGGCGTGCAATTCAAAGCCTGCACTGGAATGGAACAGCAAAACTGCTGTGATGTAGTTCTTCTTTTCTTTTTTAAGCCAAGAAGAGTAAGCACATTTCACTATGAAAAAGAACCCCCCAAACAGTAACCAAAGACACCAATCCCAAAATACTCACACAGCAACCAGCTGGATTTTAAATTTGATAGATGTTGGATTAAATTCTGGCTTGCTCAAATTATGTTCACATTTCTAAAAAGAAAAAAATATATAATACGTATCAGAGGAAAACAAAAATATACTATGCTAATCCAGGGGGCTACTAAGTTCAAAAGGATACCATTTACTAGAGTTTTGTTTTATTTTGCTGCAAGACTACATGTTTTGAAATAGTATATGCTACAGATAACCAAAATATGCAAAAGATGTTTTGAACTTTAAGAAAGAAGCAACCACACTATCAAATAGTTATACCTTTGCAGTGTTTCAAAACTTAATAAAACACACACATACTGAGCACTTACTATGTGTGCTGAACAATGTAGATTTTGCTGTTTTTTCTTCGTGTTTTCTTTTATATTGTTTTTAAGTCCTTTTTATTTCCTTTCTACTAGCCCAGAAGGTACCCATCCTTGCTCTAAGTAGATTTAAATATCGCACAACTTAGAAGGCAGGTGTATCACTGTCCCCATTTCCCAGGTGGTGAAAATGGGGCGCTGGAAGAGTAAGTCATCTGCACAGCTTCCCAGAGCCAGTGAACACTGCTGTGGGACTGAAATCCAAGTAGTGTGATTCCAGTACCTGAGCTTTAAAATGTAAAACACGGTAACAATTATTTACTAATTTCTTGAATGGGCACAACATGCACCTCGTTAAAAAACCTTTAACACTACAAAAAGGAACAGGGTAAAGGTACCCATTACTCGTCCCCTGGTTCCTCTCCTGAGCCGACTAGTTTCTCATGCGTTGTCTCCCAGACAGTCCACGCAGATGAATTTATATGGACATGTCAACTTTCTTTTTCACAGTAACACAGAAGACAGCATTTTATGTACTCCCCTGCCCTTTGATCTTTTTTCATCTACTCTGTCTTGGACTTCCACACCAGCACACACGGCGGGGCCTGTCCCCTACTATAAGGATTTCCATAACTTACTGACCAGATCCAAACTGACGGGTGGTCCCACGGTTCTGCTACTACAAAGAATGCCACGGGAAGTATTTTCATACATCAGATCATTTTTCACATGTGCAAGTGCATTGGTAGAATAATTTCTTAAAAGTGGATCAATGGGTATGTGCATTTGTTATTTTGATAGTGCCAAATTGCTAACTTCTGCCAATCTGATAATTTATGAAATGGTATCTCACTGCAGTTTTAAGGTATATTTCCTTCATTACTGTGTAAGTTTGAGTATTTTTCCTATTTATTGGGTTTGGGGAGTTCTTCTGCCATGACTAGTGTGTTAGTATCTACTGCTTGTTTCTATACTGAGATATCTTTTCCTTACTGATTTGCTAAAGTTCTTTATTTTTTATTATTTTTTAATCTTCACTCAAGGGTATGTTTACTGATTTTAGAGACGAAGCGGGGGCGGAGGGAGATGGAGGGAGAGAGAGAAACATCAATGTCAGAAACTCTGACTGGCTGCCTCCCACTGGGGATCAAAGCCGCAATTTAGATATGTGCCTGACCAGGGATTGAACCCGCAACCTTTTGGTGTATGGGATGATGCTCCAACCAACCAGGCTACCTGGTCAGGACTAAAGTTTTTTAATATATGCTGAATACTAATCCTCTGTTAATTTTGTACCTTACAAATCACTTTCCTCAGTCTATGGTCTATCTTTTCATTTGGTATGGTTTTTCTCTGGAGTGGGGGTACAAGTTTGACTTTTAATGTGTCAAATGTAAAACTTTTTCCTTTACAGCTGTGCTTATTTGTCTTATGTACAGAATATTCCCTTACCCCAGAGTCATGAAGATATTCTCTCCTTTCTAGAGGTTCTGCTCTCCATATTTACTCTTTAAAGCTCCCAGTGTTCCTGAAATTTACTGTTGTGTATTGTGTGAGGTAGAGAGCTAAATTGTTCTTTTTTTTTTTCATATAATCATGTGGCCCAGCAAAACTTAATAGGCTATCTCCCCCATGATCTGCAATGCCATATTTAGTAAAATCAAGTGTCCTCGCATGCATGTGTCTTTCGGCTTTCTCTATTATGTTCCAATAGGATAGTTCTAATCTAATGTGTGTGGTATTTTTATGTTTATACATATATTTTCCCTCCTTTCTTATACAAAGTTGAGTACCTGCTGTGTAACCTGTGTTTTACATTTAAAAATATATCCCATATTAGTATATTCTTTTTCATAGACTTATAGCACTCATTGTATGGATGTACCTTACTCTCTGCACATTTTGGTTTGTATTTGTACAGGTGAATCTTCAGGGTAGATTACTAGAAGTGAGGTTGATAGGTCAGCAGGACATACAGCTTATTTACGTTCAGTAGATTTTTGTATCTGTATCAGGGTAAGGCTGGCCTATTAGAATGAGTTAGGAAGTAATCCCTTTGCTTCTATCTTCTGAAAGAGATTGCAGAGAACTGTCATAATTTCTTCCTCAAATCTTTGGCAGGATTGACCAATAAGCACATCTTGCCCTGGTGCTTTCTGTTTTGGAAGGTTATTAACTCAATTTCTTTAATAGATATAGATCTATTAGATAGTCTATTTCATGAGTGAATTTTGGCAGACTGCGCCTTTTAAGAAATTGGTCCATTTCATCTAAGTTATCGAATTTGTGGGTGAGTTGCTCAGTCTTTAGTATCCTTTTCATTTCCATGGAACTGTGGTGATGTCCCTGCTTTAGTACTAATTACTAATACTAAATACTAATTACAGAATTACTAATTCTGATATTAGTTATTTGTGTCCTCTCTCTGCTTTTCTTAGTTAGCCTGGCTAGAGGGTTCTTAATTTTATTGGTCTTTTCAAAAAAACCAGCTTCTGGTTTCATTGCTTTTCTCTAATGATTTCATTTTCAATTTCACTGATTTCTGCTCTGATTCTTATTTCTTTTCCTCTGCTTACTTTGGATTTAATTTGCTCTTCTTTTTGTAGTTTCCTAAAGAAAAGGCTTAGATTTGTGATTTTAGATCTTTCTTCTTTTTAAAAAATTTTATTTATTTAATTTACTTTTAGAGAAAGGGGAAGGGAAGGAGAAAAGGAAAGAAACATCAATGTGTGGTTGCTTCTCATGCATCCCCCACTGGTGACCTGGCCTGCAACCCAGGAATGTGCCCTGACTGGGAATCGAACCAGTTACCCTTGGGTTCACAGGCCAGCGCTCAATCCACTGAGCCACACCAGCCAGGGCTCTACTTTTCTAATATATGCATTCAGTACTATACATCTCTCTAACCACTGCTTTTGTTGCATCCAACAGATTTTGATAAGTTGTATTTTCATTCTCATTTAATTCAAAATATTTTTAAATGTCTCAAGATTTCTTCTTTGACTCGTGTGTTATTTAGAAATAAGTTCTTCAATCTCCATGTGTTTGGGGATTTTCCAGTGATCTTTCTGTTACTGATTTCCAGTTTAATCCCATTTTGATCTGAGAGCAGATACTCTATGATTTCTATTCTTTTAAAAAATTATATTGAGCAATTGATGGATATGATATAACCAAGTCCAACTATGTCCTTACTGACTTTTTGCCTGCTGGATCTGTCCATTTCTAAGAGAGGGGTGTGGGAGTCTCCAACTGTGACAGTGGATTCACTGAGCAGTTCTATCAGTTTCTGCCTCTCACAGTTTGGCACTCCATTGTTAGGCATATACAATTAAGAATTGCTGTTATCTTGGAGAACTGACCCGTTTTCTCCTATGTATGCCTTTCTTTATCCCTGACAACTATCCGTCCTTACTATGGAGTCTGATCTATCTGAAATTAACGTGGCTACCCTTGCTTTCTTTGGATTAGTGTTAGCATGGTATTATTTTTCTCCATCCACTTACTTTTAATCTGTACGTGTCTTTATATTCAAAATAGGCTTTTCCTTTCTTTTAAAAAAGGTTTTTCATTATAGAAATTTTCTAACATAAGGAAAAATATAGAACAGTAGCATAAATCCCTCAGAGCCACCATCATCCAGCTTCAACAATTAGCAATTTATTAGCCACGATGGCCAATCTTGTTTCTCCTGCATTGTCATCCACTCCCCATGCTTGGTTATTCTGAAACAAGTATCAGACATCATGTGACTTCATCCACAAATATTTTCCTATGTATCTCTAAAATATAAAGGTGTTTTTAAAGTAACAATACTATTATTATCCCTAAAAAATAAACAATTCTTTTAATAGCATAAAAAACATAGACACTGTTTAAATTTCCCCAAAGATTTCATAAATTTTTCACTCCTTCCTCATTCTTCCCCTTCCTTCCCTTCCTTCTTCTCTGGCCCCCTTCTTTTTTTCTGTTTTGTTTGAATCAGGAATTAGATAAAGTCTACACATGTTCGATATGTCTCTTAAGACCCTTCTAATCTCACACTGTTATTTGTTAGCAGAGGCCACTAGTCGCACGTGGGAATTTCAATGAATTAAGATGAAAGATTTAGTTCCTCAGCTGCACTGTCACATTCCAAGTGCTCAGCAGCCACACGTGGCTACTGGCAACCACGATGGACTGTGGTACCGAACATTTTCATTGTCACAGGGAATTCTATTAGATATGACTGATCTAAAAGGGTTCCTCTATTTTTTTATTTATTGAAGAAATTCTGTTGTTTCTTCCATAGATTCCCAGAGCCTGGATTTTGTTAATTTTTCTTCTTTCTTGCTTTATTTTAAATTATTTTTTTTACTAGTCCTCTTTGTTTCCCCTGTACTAAACTAAGGGCTATATATTCTTCACTATTTTTTAGGGGTTAGCATTATGAGCCTAATTTCCAGACACCTCCGTTTCCACACCTGTACAAGAGGTAACAACAGTACCTACCTCCGAGAGCTGTGAAGGCTGGGTTTGTGTTGGAAGCACTTACAATACTGCCGGGACACCCACATATGCTCTATTATTGACTACGTCCCAGAGATTCTGACACGGGCCAGATACCAATCACGTTTACTTCACGTTTGCTTTCCCTGGAACCAACGGCAGCTCCCCAGAAGGCAGGACCTACCCGGCAGCGCAGGGACCGTTTGATCAGAAGATGTTTGTGACGAGGGTAGAGCTGAGAAGCGCAGATTGGCTGGAAGTCAGGCTGCAGGAGGCGCTGCTGAAGGGTGGTTACTGGCATGGAAGGCAGAAACCAGACTCAGTTTAGGGACTTGCTCAACATCAGACTTACATGAAGTCACATAAAACAACTTTGCTTTTGTAGGTAGTGTTCTTCAAAAAAAAACTACCACATACAAATTGGACATCTGAAAGTTCTTCAAACAACTACTTCTATTAAATCCATTTTATTTTCAACATGATTCATTTTACTACTATCAACTATGCTAGAGAAATTTTCAAATCACAAGGAATAAAAGCAACAAAAGCAGAATTAGTTATAAAACATAAACAAAATAAAGTCATGTGTCAAATTACCCTCTGTTAAATTGACCGGTCTTGTATAGTAGTCTTCAGGTAGAGGCTCCACCTCGTCTACAGCTTGAGCTGGCTCAATCTTTATCTCTTTCTGGTCCTCTCCTTCTTTAAGGCTAAAAGAGAAAAAGCAGGAATTTTCAAGGGTCCACCTGATTGATTACCTTTCAAGTCTATGACATCACAAATTGAAGTCTTCCTCCATTATAGAATATTCTTTCTGCTTCGGTCTTTTCTAAGTATGAGGATCTTCTTCACCATTGGCAACTGTCATTTATTTACATAAAAATCACTTTCTTTCAATGTTCACTTTAATACCTGCTTTTTTTCTTCAAAGACACTTAACGTCCAAACTTACGAAAGTCCAGCAAGGGTGCTGATGGTCGCGCCAGCTCGTGGTCGCTGAAGCCTCGTTCCGAGACCGTATTTGTCCTAAATAGGGTTCAGAAATTCCTATTAGAAATCTCACCTTCAAACATCCTACTTATCAAAAGAAAGAATTTTGGGTGGGACAGCATGAGAAGCACAGGGAAATAAGCAAAAAAACCAACAAAACCAAAAGAAACTAATTTGAAAGCTTTCTTTAACGAGAAGAATTTGTAGCCCCACACCATCTTATTGTTAAAATAATAAAAGCACCAAACAGGGAGACTAAAACTACATTAATATAGTAAAACTGAACACAACGTGATTTTTTTTTACTACTAATCTGAACGTATCTAAGCTATGGTTTGGATCAGAACCACGTGTAGTGTCTAGGATAAACGATCTACATCTTCTTGGCACACCAGCGACCATCTGCTAACTTCATCAGGGTCAGCGAGAATCATAAAAGAGAACTTACCACTACATGAATAGTGTGTTGCTGCAGGCCCCCAAATAGCAGCAGGTTGCAACAGAGACAAAAAAATGCAGCATAAGATAGAAGCAAACTCATATGGCAGGCAGGTCACGTGGGAAAGTTGGAAGAATGATGCATTTAATTCACATCCCTTTCCTAAATACACTACGGCATATGCTGTTTGTACCAATGGACTATGCGGAAAAACTCACGACGACTTCATTGAACTGTTGGGCAAATGTAGGTGCTTTGTGAGTTTTGTAGGTGTTTTGTAGGTGCTTTTGTAGAATATTTATAAAAATATTCTAGATATTTTTATATGGGCCTCACCAATTCATAGGGTTTTGGTGGCTTAACTAATCCTCATGCAGAAGCAGTAAAACAAGTTATTTAACCTTTACAGGTCTTCTTTCCTCCAGTGTAAAATGGGGATACATCACCTATTCCAAAGGACTGTTGTGACAATTAAGTGCTTAGCAAAGTGCCTGACACATCGTTTACTGCCATTCTCAAGTGGTATTTACAAATACCTGCTTGGCCCCAAGCAAACACACAGAAACAAACTGTTCTGTGAGAGCACCCGGAACTTGGAGACAACAGAAACGCCAAATCCCTATTTCCTGCTTCTGATTGGTAGCATCCAGACTAGTAAAGAATGACTTCCATAAATACTTCCTATTAAAAATCACACTTGCATACATGACTGTTTATTTAACCACACTAATACGCTGTGTAAAGTCAGTGTTTTTATACTGAAGAAACACGGGAAGGTGCCCCAAAACTGTAACCAGAGCTGGAAAACCACTTCTGGGTTTCTAATGTGCAAAAACTGTAACAGTCCGGTGGTGTCCCCAGATTGAAGTCTAGCCTCTTTGGAGGGTGATCAGAAGAGAAGCGGGAGTGACAGAGAGAACCAGGAATGTCCCCCACACTCCAAGACAACTAATGAAACGGTAAACATGTAACTGCTGGGCTGAAAGCCCTCTAGTCTGAGGAGCCCTTCTCTGTTCCCCATCCTTCGGCACCTAGGGACAAGGGCCCTCTCTGAGACAGTCCCTGTTCTCATGCCGCAGTGGTCCTGACCCATGAACGGCAAACTCCTCTTTGCACTGGAAGTCCTCACCGAAAAAGCCAAAGGCATGTAGTTTCTACGCCGTGCCAGTTTCTTGCGATCTCGCTCCACCTTCTCCTTCTGAGCAAGCTGCTGGTAATATTCAATCAGTTTGTTCATCTGTAATAAATCAAAGACTCAGTATTTGTTTCAGAAAAAAGCTAACAGGGAGTATACAAAATTAATCAACTATACTGACTAGACATACAATAAACAGAAAAGACAAATTATTAAGGTGGCAGGTTTGCCCTTTTCTTCAAAGAGAATTTATCTTCATTACGTAATCTACTTTGGAATTGAAATGCAACTTTCCAGGTCAGAAACAGGAAGAAATGGGCGACGAAAAGGCTTAGAAATGTCATGCTCTCTGTTCACTGCTCCCCTCCTTCATTACCGCTTTCCCCGCACAGATGAGCCTTTTTTCTGACGGCCATGGGACCATCTATTTCTAAGAAGGTACTGTTTCACACTCTATTTTCTCCCCCATTCCATCACACATTTTCATTTTTATGATATATTTTAATCATAAAATATGTTAATTGTGAAGAGTTCAAAAAATCCACATGCAAAAATAAGTGAACCTTCTCTTTTGTCTCTTGTGCCCAAATCCAGTCCGTCCTCACCAGAGGTACCCACCATTAGAGTTTAGATATCCTTCCTGCCCATTTACAGGTAAAGGTCTGATATTATATTTCTCATACATTAAAAAAGCCCATGTATAGACATACAGCTAAATATGCATAAAAATAAACACAGGCCTTTTTATTTTCATGTAAAAAAAAAAAAACTTCGCCCTGGCTGGTGTAGCTCAGTGGATTGAGCACAGGCTGCAAACCAAAGCATCACAGGTTCGATTCCCAGTTAGGGCACATACCTGGGTTGCGGGCCACGGCCCCCAGCAATCACACATTGATGTTTCTCTCTCTCTCTCTCTTTCTCCCTCCCTTCCCCCTCTAAAAATAAATAAATAAAATCTTAAAAAAAAAAAAAGAACCTTCCCAGCTGCTGTGGCTCAGTAGACTGAGCACCAGCCTGTGCACTGAAAGGTCACCAGTTCCATTCCCAGTCAGGGACATGCCTGGGTTGCGGGCCAGGTCCCCAGCTGGGGGCGCGCAAGAAGCAACCAATCACTTGCACATCAATGTTTCTCTCCCTCCCTTCCCCTCTCTCTGAAAATAAATAAAATCTTCTAAAAAAAGAAAAAGAAAAAAACTTGTAACATTCTTTTCCACTGAAAGTATTATAAACATCCCATCTAGTACATCTACCTCCTTCTTTTTAAAAGCTACATCTTATTATTATGCAGTGCAGATATTAAATCATTTCCTTTGATAGGACTTAATGCTCTCCTGGTACCCACTCTGGTCCTTTCAATTCAGTAGCAATTATGTCTGGGAAACACTAATCTGATCCTGTCAGGTCTTTGCTTAAAACCTTGAAAGGATTCCCAGACTACTCAGCTTGGCCCACACGCTCCTACAGGGCCGGACAGCAAACCCTTCTCGCCAGCCAGTCGCTCAACACTGTGCTCTACTCAGCCCGCCCACCTTGTCTACAACTTGCTCTGCTTCTTCCACATACAAGCCCCTTGCATATGCTGCTCCCCTGCCTTGAATTCCTTCCCTTCTGCGCCTGCTGTCCTGAAATCCTAGCGACACCCTTAGGATTGACTATCCCCCTGATCAATGTCCACATGGCACAATTTCTTTTCTTCATGTGACTTAGTTTTCCTTTACCTGGGAATTATCTGATTTTGTTTTCCCTAGCGGATAGGGACCGTGGATTCCTATCGTTCAAGACAGTCTCTGGCACATAGTAAGTGCTTGATAAATGTTTGATGAATGAATATATATTTTTGTGCTTAAGTGTAAGTATTTCTGTACATCTGAATCTAGAAAGGTACTGCTGAGAGCTCAAGAAATTTGTACTAATTTACACAACTGTAACAACAATATATGTAAAAAGGTACAATTCCCCACGCTATCATTCAGGGCATTTTCAGTATTTATCATTTTTATTGATGTCGTAAGTAAATGATTATATTGTTTAATTTGCAATTTGATTGTATATACTTAATTTCAATAGTATTTCATTATCTTCTTCACATTCTATTTTCAGGGGCAAAAAAATCAGCTCTAATGTACACTATAGAGATCAATTCTCTATGAACTATTAAAGGATGCTCTAGTCATGATTCTATAAGCAACTACTACTGAGTCAAAGGGCATCTTCTAAATTAGAGCTGTTTCCAGGAGTTAGATGTATGTTGATAATACTTCCAAGAGTATGTGAGAAGACAAGGAACCTCAACTTGGTAGGTACGTGAAAAACAAAAACATCATTTCCTTTTTCCAATTCACAACTTGAGCCCTGAACTAAAACTATACCCAGGTTTTCCTATCAACCCAATGGAAAAACTGCCATCGTGATTTAATGCTCTACCATGAGGAACACTTTCGATGTGGAACAGACACCAAAATAAACGTCAAGGACTTCTAAGCACAGGCCACACCTACTGGTAACAGAAGGTCTTCAGTCCTTCTCCCCACCTTTTCTTATTTCATCCCCTCGCCAACAACCTTTTACTCACCCGCTGAGTGTGAGGATTTTCAGGTTCCTGCCAACCACCGCTAGCTGCAAAACAAAGGAGCACTAAATGAGAACTTTATAATTTGATCATTTTATTTTCACAAAAATAGGTCATCTGCAGGCCACAATATAAAACTTAAAAACATAAAATCACAGAACTTCCAAGAAAGAGTCCTATAAATTATATAGACCAGAATGCTCAGAATAAAATTTTTCCTTTAAATAATGGTGATAATAATCACCAGCACAACAAACACGTTTCATTTCATTTTATTCTTGTAACAACCCTGTGAAGGGAGGACTTTCCTTACAATATTAGCCTTATTTTACAAGAAAACAGAGGCTCAGACAGTTAAATAACTTGCCCAAAGCCACACTGTTAGTAAGCAGTAAAGCCAGTATTCAAACTCTGACGCGGGAGACCCTGCTCTTACATGCAACACTGTGCAATTTCTCTGTTTTATGACCCTGGTTTGGAAAAAAAATTCTTCCATGAGAAACAAACAGCATAAATCATAAAGGAAAAGATTTTTCCAGGAAGTTAAAAGTAAAACCATAATGAATACTTTCAACAAACGGTGCTGCAAACAACTGGACACCCAGAGACCAAAAACAAATGAGCCTCTACCCTACCTCATACCTTACCCTGGATGGGCAACAGACTTACTCGTAAGAGCTAAACTGTAACCTTTCTAGATGAAAACCCCAGGGAAAATCATAGTGACCCTGTGTCAGGCTAAGCCTTTCTTCACTAGGGTACAAAAGACACAAACTATGAAAGAAAAAATTGAGAAATTGGACCTCATCAAAATTAGCAGAGTCTTCAAAGGACACTGCTGAGAAAATAAAACAGCAAGTCACAGACTGAGAGAAAATATCTGCAAAACATGTCATGAACAAAGGGTTTGCATGTAGAATACACAACTGTTACAACTCAATAAAAAGACAAAAATTCAGTTTAAAAATAAGCAAAAGATTTGTACAAACATTTCACCAAAAAAAGTGTGTGTGTGTGTGTGTGTGTGTGTGTGTGTGTGGTAAGTAAGCCCACTAAGAAGATGCACACTAAAACCACAGTAAGGTGTACCCCTACACGCCCACTGGTATGGCTAAAATGAAAAAGCGTGGCAACACTGAGGGTCGTTGAGGAACTGAAATTCTCCTAACATTGCTGGTGAGAGTCCGAAATGGTACGGCCACTCTAGAAAATAGTTTGGCATTTTCTAGTTGTTAAACATACCCTCACCCTATGACCCAGCAATTCTACTCCTAGGTATTTATGCAAGGAAAGTGAAAACATATCCACACTAAGACTTATAGACAAATGTTCTTAACAGTTTTATTCATGGGACCAAAACTGGAAAAAACCCAGATGTCCATCACTGGAGAAACTGTGGTATTGGGTTGGCTAAGAAGTTTGTATGTTTTCTTCCATAAGATGGTTCTAGTAGAGCTTAGCTGTCTTTAACTTCATTCAAAAATACAAGTTTTGTTAGGCTGTATTGTGACAGCTATCATATCAGTGTGCATTAAAAGAAAAGTTACCAAAATAGGTGAATTTTTGTATAGCCATTTTAATATTGAAGATGGAGGAAAATATGCAACATTTTTGGCATATCATGCTTTATTATTTCAAGAAGGGTAAAAAAGCAAAAATAGATTCATGCAGGGTATGGAGAAGGTTCTGTGACTGATGGAACGTGTCCAAAGTGGTTTGTGAAGTTTCATGCTGGAGATTTCTCACTGGACAATGCTCCAAGGTCAGGTAGACCAGCTGAAGTTGAGAGTCATAAAATCCAGACATTAACTGAAAACAATCAATGTTACATACACCATGCAGGAGATAGCTGACATACTCAAAATATCCAAATCAACCAAGTTATTGTGAAAATGAAAAATTTGTCTTTTATTTTTATGGAAAAAACTATACAGACTTTCTGGCCAACCCAATACATCCACACAACAGATACACTACTCAACAGTAAAAAACAAATCATGTGTGAGCCTCCAAAGTATTAGACTAAGTGAAAACAGACACCAAAGAGTATGTACTAGAAGACTCCAATCATATAAACTTCTAGAACAGGCAAAATTACAGGGACAGAAAGCGAATCGGGGCCAGGAGCCAGGCGGCCAGGGGAAGAGACTGACTGCAAAGGGGCCCCAGGAAACTCTGGGGTGCCGGGGATGTTCTGCAGCGGGGCTGGGCGGTGGCTACGTGAGCACACGCACCTGTCAAAAACCATAGAAGCCTACGCTTAAAACTGGTGAGCGACACCTCAGCAAAGCTAATCCAAAAAACTGAAAGAATAAACTATAATGAGACACCATCTCACAACCATCTGGAAAAACGACACTAAGGACTGCCAAGGATCTAAAGCGAGGGGTGGTCTGCTCTTACCCATTACTCGTGGGGGGAAAACTGGTAAACCATTTCACAGAGCTAAAGGTATACACAACTTAAAACCAGCAATTTTACTTCTAGCTACGCAGAGAACCCTCACTCTTGGGACTCAGGAGACGCAGACAGGAGTGTTTCTGACAGCTCAGCTGTTGAAAGGAAGAACTGACAACCGCCCACCGGTCCACGAAGGGGACTGAGTACGTAACCTGCGGTAAGGCCTGCACGAAGCCGACTGCTGCCGTCAGCGTAAGACTGATGGGGAAGGGCTGCAGCGGGACACATGCAGCAAGTCTCTGTCTGGTGCACACTGGAAACCACCACTCGCTGGTGGCCAAACACACGGTGGGGAAGTATAAAGGCACGCGTGGACGCTGAGAAGTGATGACCCCTCTCTCCAGGAGGCAGGGGAAGGGGGGTGTGGTGGGGGCAACACAAGGGCTTTCGACTGTTTGGATGTATTTACTTTCCTAAGCTGGGTGATAAATACATGAATGTAAATTATCCGTGTAAGTTACAATAACTTTTTTCAAAACAAAAAGGACTCCTGAAGGTGCCACTATACTCCCTTGCAAGAAATGGTAGCAAAAACATTCTTTTGTATGTTATTCATAATTTAAAGGTTGTCTACTCAAGACAACCAGGAAAAAATAATTATGCAAAAGAAATGTTTTAGTTGTAGTATCTTTAAAACTCTGAACGTTCTACTTAATTGCTTCTGTAGAACTGGTAATTCACTCTGAAGAGCCATTAGGGAGACATAATGATGCCACTCTAAGTTTTCCCCACACATCACTGACACAATGGCTCACTTAAAACAAACGGTCCCCACTCAAGTGGTTTCAGAGCTCCTCAGACACCGACGACATCACGGAAAAATGAAATTATCTGTGCTCTTTTAAGAGCTCCTACAACTCAATTATCATTGTCAAGATCCCCTAGAAGAAAGAGATGTTCTAGAAGCAAGCGCAGATTTTAAGTTCTGAGATAAAAATTCTCCAATCTTAATGGCTCACGATCCAAAAGGCATAAATATTCACTTACAGAGGAACAAATTGAGAAATCTATTTGGATTTGTGGGTTTTGTTTCTTTAATGTGCTAAAAAGAGACACAATACAAACATGGAAATATACACTTTAACTTACTGAGACATATACTATGCTTGCCACTTTGAGGTTTTTTTTTAATGTTTAACTTAAATTCATAAACAAATTCAAACAACTCGCTTGCTACATTGAAGTTAAAACATATATGCACAAATATTTACTCAAAATCTAAAAAGCTGCTATGAAGTCATTCTAAAATAAATCACATTTCAGGAAATACCTACCCACCAACGAGCATTTTTAAGGAACCAAGATATGCTTGTTTAGTTAACATTTTTTGTTTTTGAAGAGTATTTTATCAACTTAATGTTCAAAGTCAAAAGAACAACTGAGAACTGAAGTATTCTAAACCAAGAGGCAAAGTAAACAAAATCAAGGATTAAATTTTTAAAAATATTTTATTCATTTATTTTTAGAGAGAGGGGAAGGGAAGGAGAAAGAAGAAGAAAAACAACAATGTGTGGTTGCCTCTCACGTGGCTCCCACTGGGGACCTGGCCCTCAACCCGGGTATGCGCCCTGACTGGGAATCGAACCTGCGATGCTTTGGTTCTCAGCCCACGCTCAATCCACTGAGCTACACCAGCCAGGACAGGAGCATTTATTTTTTATAAAAAGCACCCATATTTTGCCCTGGCTGGCGTAGCTCTGTGGGTTGAGCTCGGGCTGCGAACCAAAGCATCGCAGGTTCGATTCCCAGTCAGGGCACATGCCTGGGCTGCAGGCCACAGCCCCTAGCAACCGCACATTGATGTTTCTCTCTCCCTCTCTCTTTCTCCCTCCCTTCCCTCTCTAAAAATAAATAAATAAAATCTTTAAAAAAAAAGCATCCAGCCCTGGCTGGCATAGCTCAGTGGATTGAGCGCGGGCTGGGAACCAAAGTGTCCCAGGTTCGATTCCCAGCCAGGGTACATGTCTGGGTTGCAGGCTATAACCCCCAGCAACCGCACATTGATGTTTCTCTCTCTCTCTCTATCTCCCTCCCTTCCCTCTCTAAAAATAAATAAAATATTAAAAAAAAAAAGCATCCATATTTTGAGGTTAAGAAAATGTCAGATTTATAAAAGCTATTTTACCAACTCTAAAAAAACTAATTAAACTAGTCTTAGATGAAATATTGTCCATAAATGTGAGAATTTAGGAATGCAAAAGATTTAATGACAATATACTCTAAATTTAGCTCCCCCTACCCACAAGGTAACAAATAATCATCTATAGACAATTACAGCACTGTTAATTTCACAACATCTCATGGTGAAGTCTTCCTCACTCACCCACAGATTTGTCTGCCATGCCCACGTCTCTAGATGTCCAGCGACAAAACCCACAGGCCAGGTAATAGGCTTTCTTCATGGTGGTCTTGGCTGGGTCATCTGGAAGCTGTGTGGAGATGCTGGTTGCACGGGTGGAGAGCGTGTGCATGCATCCAGGACAGTCAAAGCAGTTGGCACACCTGTGTTAGAAAAAAATACAATTCATTCACTCAACAAGTATTACCAAGCACTGACTGGTAGCAGGTATTGTTCTAGGTATTAGAAATTCAAGAGAGATAAGAAATTATTAGAAATTAAAGAAGGGTCTCTCAAACACAAGAACTAACAAAGTATTCCTGTGACTCTTGCAAACTTTGTCTTAAAATTTCGGAAGTATTGCATGTTCATTATTTAAAAAATAAAAAGCAATCATCACCAAAGTTCCTGAAGAATCAGAGCCTGACCCAGTCCTCCTCCACAGAGGGAAGCCGTGTTAACGACCTGCACTTCACTGTTTTCAGACCCTTTTTACGCTTGTACAGAACGCAAGAAGGAGTTCTGAGGAAAACAGAAATGTCAGAGCTCCTGCCTTGAGAGGTAACAGACCAACTGCACAATGGAAACTAATGGCAACAATACACAATCTGTGAAACTGGTGTGGAAGACAACTGCTTGCTTGCTGTGCCGCAGAGCTGGAAGAGGCATGAAACAATGTTCTCAAATGGGGCGGTTCAGCAGCGCCGCATTGTCAGGGCTTTCCGGCACTGCCACCTAGCGCTCAGCCGACATTTCCTCTTCCAGGGCCCTGATACCTTGTTGCTTTCAAGTCTCCCACACCTGACATTACCAAGATTCACCACCAGTCCCAGTCTTGGTCTGAAGTTCCATTCCATCACTCCAATTAGCTGTGACATTTTGCTATCTGGATAATATCCTCAAATAAGGATAGTAATAGCATTCACCTCACAGACATATTTTCAGGATTAAATGATAAAATTAATGTGCGGACAGTATACAAAACTGTATGGCTTACCAAAAGGGATTTATTTCTCAGAGACAGGAAAGACAAATAATAATGGTTCGCGTCGGCTGGGGTGCTGGGAGTATGACTGGTGGCAAAGGGCTTTCACATCAAGAGAAACACCACACGGCACCCAGGAGCATCAAGCACACCTACTACCCAGATCACTTTCCAATAAAAGAAACCAAGGTTTCCTGGAAAGATGGCTCATTCTAGGATTGAGGGCAGAGAATACACAGGATGAGCCTAGAATATCTTACAGTGCCACAAAGAAAGTTCTCAAAAGAATGAACAAACAACCCCTCACACAACAAATGGGGTAAGTCAAAGGGATACAGGAGTCTACTGAAGAAGTTCCCAATGGCCAAAGGTGGACCAATTTGAGCACACACACAAAAAAGTAGTACTGGATTATAAGCTAAAGTGTAAAATAAATATCCATGAGCCAATTCTGTCTTAACTAAATAAATGGGGGAGAAAAGAAAAAATCTTTCACGTATATTAATCCCAAATAATTTATGTAGATAGCCCTCACAGACAGGGAGCACAACTCCTCACTATTTAAATGTGGGCTGTGACGGTGACTTGCCCTCGGAAGAGTACAGCATGAGAAAGGAGTGGGGGGCGGAGAGTAACTGCACAGGGGAGACACCCGACATGTACCAGCTGAAGCCAGACTGATTATCCGGCTCAATGTCAACAGTGACAGTCGTACTGAGAGTTTGTTCCCTTGACCTCTGTGGTCCTCCTCCCCCAACACAGTCCCCTAGCTGATGAGAAAAACATTAGAAAAATTCCACCTGATGGACATTCTACAATACACCTAACCATCGCTCCTCAAAACTTTTAAGGTTAGAAAAACATCAGAAAAATTCTACCTGGAGGACATTCTACAATACACCTAACCATCGCTCCTCAAAACTTTTAAGGTCATCAAAACCAGGGAAAGTCTAGGAGAATGTCACAGCAATAGGAGCCCGAGGAGACGTAACTATTAAACAAAATGTGAATATCCTGAATAGCATCCTGGAAGAGAAGAAGGAGATCAGGAAAAAAACTAAAGAAATCTGAATAAAATATGTTGTTTATTTAATAATAATGTACCAGTATTGTTCATTAATGAGACAGATATACCATACTAATGTAAGATGTTAACAAGAGGGAGGCCCTGGCCAAGCAGCTCAGTTGGTCAGAGTGTCCTCCCAACACTCCAAGGTCGTGAGTTCAATCCCCGGTCAGCACACATTCAAGAATCAACCAATGAATGCAGAAATAAGTGGAACAGCAAACTGATGTTTCTCTTTTTATCATCCTTCCCTCTCCACCCCCTTTCCCTCTCTCCCTCTCTCCCTCTCTCTAAATCAATTTAACAAATAGGGATGACTGGGTATGGGGCACACGGAAATTCTCTGAATCATCTTCACAATAATTCTTAAGTCTAAAACGGAACGTTTATTTAAAGGGTCAAAGGACATTTTATCTTTGGCAAAGGTGATGCAAAAAAAAAAAGAAAAAGAAAAAAAGCTAGTTAAAAAATAGAGCTCATTCCAGGTGTTTTCTTACCAGCTAGTACAAAAATAGTTGAGGATAACAAAAACTGAATCCTGGTCTTACCTGTTCTTTTTCAGTTTGGCTTCAGCTGATGGCATGTTTTCTAAACAACTGGGACAATAGTGGGAGTCCACCTAGATAGAAACAAGAAATTAAAAAATCAGAGGAAAAGAAACTAAATTTAGCTTGTGTGTATATCTCTGCCAAGGAGTAAAACTGGAAGTATATTCCACTGAAGCGGAAGGTGAGAGACTACTGATCTGGCAAAGAGCCTAAGTTGTTTCAGCTCAGGGTCTATTCCTCAATCACCTGTCTGTCTTAACCATCCAGACTTTCTAAAACCCTCCCATTTTTCCTTTCTGATCTTTCCTTTTCCCTTTCATTGGGAGTTTATGAATTAGATTTATTAAGAATTGCCTATGTAAAAGAACTCTATACTAATCTAAAGAACAGATTAATAAAGTAACCTAATTTGTAAAACTGTACTCAAATCTTCTTCTATCTAGTTTAGCTGTATTGGATTGTAGTGGTTTGACCACACTTAAATTGTGAGACATAAAAAGTTTGCTCATGACTGAAGCAATACATGTTCACTGAAGAACAGTATAAACGATCATTTACAAAGTCAGCTACAGTCAACCAATCAGAGAAATTTAAATGAAAAATTAAACTACTAAGCTAAACTACTACTGTATTTAACTCAATTTAGCTGTGTTCTAAAACACAGTATAAAAATTAAATTCATTGTATCTTTAAAGTCTAAATAGTTATTTGGTTAAACGTAGATAGATCCTATTTGACAATTCTAGAATTCTAGTCTGCAGAAGGAAGAAAAGTCACTTGAACATAGATACTATGATAAAAACTGGCTTTTTTTCATTATCTGCTATGAACAGGACCATCTTTGAAAAGATTAATAAAACCACAGCTTAAAAACCTCCCAAAACATGAAATATAGCATTGCTAACTACTATTTGCACTAACTCATCATAAAAGGCAAAATATAAATCACTCCTTGGGGCCCCTTTCCAAATTACACTTGTCCCTTCACATGCGGCTCCAATCCAGGTTCTCCGCTGGAACCCTCTGACTGTGCCAGCCCTCACCAGTCTCCTCCTTTCCCAGCCCTACCAGCCTCTATCTCACAGGTGCACAACAGTGAGTAAAAGGTGCAGTGACAGACTGAATGGCGTAACTGCAGACATCCTTAGACAGCATGAAGACTGCACTCCCTAGTTACCACCAAATGAGAGTCTAATCCAGTACACTGTAAGGGTGGAGCTGGCACAGGGAGGCATCTCAAAGAGAAAGGACCTGCCAAGGAGATACACGGACACACACACACACACACACACACACGGAAAGTGTTAACGGAGAAAAAAATCCATGAAAAATCAGTGCCATATTACACATATAGGCATTTATTTTTCTTCTATTATTTATTTTTCTTTTTAAAAGATTTTATTTATTTTTAGAGAGGGGGGAAAGGAAAGGAGAAAGAGAGAGAGAGAGAAACATCAATGTGTGGCGGCCCCTCGCACCTCCTGCTGGGGACCTGGCCCACAACTCAGGCGTGTGCCCAGACCGGGAATCGAACTAGAGACCCTTTGGTTCAAAGGCCCACACTCAATCCACTGAGCTATACCAGCCAGGGCTTTCTTCTATTATTTAAATGCTTTCCCACACTATTCTTAATATTGTGAAAAACATCCCCAATAAAATAATAATTATGAATAATATGTAAAGTGGCTTATAATATTGGCCAGGTTTTTCATATGCATTTTCAACAGTCTGGGGATCTCCGCCCAAATTCTGAGTCAGTCTACTCATTTTCAAATCCTGGCTCTCCCTCTGACCCCCAAATGCCTGGCTCTGTGACCTAGGGCAACCATTTCTTTACCTGTAAAATGATTTTCTTTTTTTAAAAGGTATCTTTTCTTCTTCCACCGGGTTGCAGGAAGATTAAAGGAGATTATGTAAAGCATATGGCATGTGGAAAGTACTGAATTAACTGTATCTATGATTACTATCGGCTTTTCCTTCACGAGGCTGTGAGCTACTCGAGGGCAGGATTTATGTCTTGCTCATCTTTTAATCCCCAAAGTGTACTGAACGAACGGGACATGTCAAGCGCTGCAGAAGTTTTGAGTTTATTGATCTGGTGATTTTGTACGGGGTGGGGTCTTTTACCTTTAGAGCAATCCCACCACCAACGTCTATTTGTTGTGAACGACGACAGCACCCTACCCTCCGGGGACGCGCCTTGAACAGAACACTCTCAGCTTCTTACAGGACTTGCCCTATTCTAGACGCTTTTCGCTCAGCTCCCCCATCCCAACCTCTTCCCTGCTGCAGGCCTTGGCCTGAGCCTGGACAGAGTCTGAGGCGGGCCCAGTTTCTGGTCAAAGTAGAGGCAGAACTTCCCAGACGGGAGGGGCATGAGTGACAATGCCCGCGTCCACTCCGCGCAAATCAATCATGAAAGACGCTATCTCGCCACTCAAGTGGCGTGAACTAAGCATGCCCACACCCTTTTCTTTCCAACCCACCCTATTGTCAATCCCCCCCCACCCCAAGAGACGGCCAGGGACCCCAAAGTCAAGCTTGTCCAATCAAATGGTGCTCTGGAACCAGAAGATCCGCTCAGCCCCACCCAAGGCCGCTCCTCCTTTCCAAGTGACACACGACTAGCAAATTAAAGCTCACGCAAAATTGAGTGACGGAAAAGAGGCCAATCAGCACGCTCGCAGAACCTCCCCGCCCGACGCGGTGACTAGTATGAACGCCTCCCCCCCTCCCCCAACACACACACACACTCTTCGTGGGACGACTGCGTTACCTCGTGAGACACACATTCCAGCGACCGCAGCTCGCTACAATAGCGGCAGAAGTAGAGCTGCGAGAGAGGGGCCCGAACCTTCTTTTCTCCCTGGACTAGGTAGAGAACCCGCTCCGATTGCAGCAAAGACGCCATCTTGGAGAGGGAGGTGTCAACGACACTCCTGCAGCGTCACGTGACCCGAGAGCCAGCGTTTGCCTCCCCGCCCTCCCTACGTCTTTCAACGTAGACTGTGACGCACAAGGTTTCCGACCCAGTGGGGCTTTGTGCCTGCGAGTGACCAAATGCGCGTGCGCAGTAGGGATTTTCGAGTTTCTCCGCCACCTTAGGACCCCCCCTCTCCGCCGTCACCAGCCCGTGTGGGATTGACTTTTCCGTCGTTTAGCACAGAATCGCAGATCAAATCCAGACAAGCTCAGTGCTCATCTTTTGTTTCTTTTGGGATGAAGGTTGCTCTTTTGTTTTATGTAGAACTGCCTCCCCTGCCCTCACCTTCTAGGAACGTATGCCGAAAGTGGATGGAAGATTTCAGGAACAGAGTTCCTTGGGAACTGGAAAGCTGAGTATCATACCAGCACTTTCTTCTGATAGTCTTGCCGTTGGCCTATAGAAAACGTCCACGGACCTTATCTCATAATGATATAGCAGGCAGCAGTTAGACAGACATGAGCAGAGTAAGAGCAATACACCAAGTACGGGTGGAAAGAGGGACCTAGCAATGGCAAAGCGGGTGGGACCTAAGCCCCACTGGGACCATTCCAACGCTATCATATCGCTGGTCATGGGATTTAGATCCCCTGATCTTTTGTATCACTGCGCAGGCAGTTCAGACCCTCCCCTGACTTTTCTTCTCTGGCATGTGGTTAGTCATGTGGCAGATCCCCACTGCCACCCCTTAGAGGAGGAACAAGGGGGCCAGAGAATAGCCTCTTAGGCTTACAAGCCCTTGCGTGACCACTCCCTTACGCATTAAGCCGTAGAGATAACATCTAGGCCTCAGTTAGTCTCAGCTCCAGGCCCAGAAACAGCAAGGCCAGGTGGGATGATGCCATGGCTGACATCAGGACCAAGCACGATGACTAATGATCCCCTTCCCTGTGGCCCACTATTGGCAAGACCATGACCCTGAAAGGACACAGCCTGGAAAGCTGATGAATATTCTATTGAGATCCTCCCCTGAGACCTCCATATAAAAGCCCTTTACGACAAAGGACTCACTCTCTCTCTTGCGCAGGTCCACGCCTTTCCTCCTTTTTTCTTTCTTCTAAGCTCCAAGGGCCCTTCTTTTGCCTCTGGAACTTGTTTCCTGAGCCCACACAGGCCAGCTCATGTCTTCTATATCTGTGACTTTCTAAATGAACATTTGCTTGTATTTGATTCTTGGCTCTGAATTCTTCCTCAGGCAAACTCAAGGACCCAGGTCTAACACCTGGTACCATTTTGCCATTAACAATTTGAAATTTATTAAACTGTGAACTCTTCCACACAGAGGCCATATTTCATTCATTTATAGGTTTCTAGTACTAGCATTAGGATTAAGTCTGTATAGTAGACCCCTTATCTGCCATTTCACCTTCTGTGTTTCAAGTGTGGTCAGAAAATATTACATGGAAAATCCTAGAATTAAGCAATTCATAAGTTTTGAATCATATGCTGTTCTGAGTCACGTCATGTAACCTCATTCTGTCCTGCTCTATCTTGCCCAGGAAGTGAATCATCTCTTTGTCTGGTGTATCCATGCTGCATATGCTACCAGCCCATTAGTGACTTAGTAGCCACTCAGACTTGGTGTGGTGTATTTCACTTAGCATAATGTCCTTTAGCTTCATCCATGTTGTTGCAAATGGCAGAATTTCCCTGCATTTTCTTTTTTTGACTGAATGAGATTCCACTGCTCAGTGACCAGCAGTCACCAGCAGCACAACCCCAATGTGTAGGTAGCAACTAGCAATGGGCCCTGGATAGCAGCAATACACGGCAAGGAAGGCAGGCATTGGGAGCAGAGGGAGAAAGAGGGAACACAGGAGCCCAGGTGGCTTGGTTTCCGAGGTGCACAGTGCCAGCCTGCTTAGGTGGTGCTGGCAGGCTTTACAAAAACAGACAGCAGCCATGGGTTGGAGTTTGCTGATGCCGGCCATGGGATCCTGATGTAATTGACTAGATGACTTAGGATCATTATGTACTAGAAAGATCCTTGTTCAATCCCTGTATTTTTCAGATGGAGAAAATGAGGTCCAGAGAGGCTAAGGAACATGTGCATAGTTTTTCTCATTCGTGGTACCATATTCTGTTCTCTGATTTCATAAATGCAGTTCCCTGCATACCACATCAGTTAATTCATACCCACAGCCAAGTAAGCAATTTGTTGTTCTTTTAACAACACTTAAAATGAAAAGAAAGCAAATGCAAGGGAAAGTGGGAGGCTAATGGATAGCCTATTGAATTTGCCACGGATGTTTGCTGGAATTGTGTCATTCCCATTTTGGGCACATGCATTTCACACCTTTGGAGTGCATTCCTCCTGGCTTCAATGAGAATTTCTCAAGCATACCTCACACCTAACCAAAACTTGTCCTCTTCATACTCCCTTCTCTGTGCTTAGTAGGCTAACCGGAAGCTAATGTCAATTCTGTGGCACTGTGGAACACTTCCTCTGCTGAGGATGCAGAGACATGAGCTGGGGGCATCCTATTTTGGCTGGAGGATGTACAGGATGACCTTGGGCTAACCACTGAAGCTGGTACCCAATGACTGGTAGTGCTTAAGGAAGACCTCTGGTCCCATAAATGTTGACTCATAAGAAACAGTTCATGGCCATACACTGTTCCATTTATCTCGTCTTCTCACATGTTTTCCCATTCACCCCTGGGAATTCACAACTGATTCAAGAGGCTATAACTCTCAGTGAAATAAGGGTAAAATCATGAAACAGTAGAGCCAGAAAAAAACATTACAGATTAACTAGTTCACTGCCTTTATTTTAGAGGTTGAGAACTGAAGCCCAGAAAAGGGAAGGGACTCACCCAAGGTGACCAAGAAAGTGAGAGGCGAAGCCAGGGTTTGAACGCAGGTCTTCATTTCACGTTTATTGCCTTCATGAACTTGGCTGGATCCCCATCTTGACACAATTCACCACCAAACCCCAAGGCTGTCTCCTAGGAGACCACCAGTGCAATGCTTGTTGACTTGAATAAAACAGAACTGATGATTGAGTACCTGCCTAACTCAGCACCTGACAAAGAGCAGTATTTGTTAAATGGATGAATTGCCATCTTTAACTATTTGAAACTTGCCGGCAGATGAAAGATGGTAAATACATTTCTTTTTTATTTTTAAGCAGTGCTTTCTTTTAGAAGGTAAAGGAAGAAACAAGGGAAGGGAGGCAGATCACACAAGTTTCCATGGGAAGATCAGGGTGGGCCTTGTGAAAAGGTAAGATCTGAGTAAAGGTTTGAAGGAGTGGGGTGATGGGCTGGTGGATATGTGGGGGAAGAGCCCTTCAGGCAGGGGCTGAGAGGTCTCTAAGGGCTAACTAAGGAACAGCCAAGAGTCACGCACCAGGGAGGCCCTTGCTGGGACAGGGAATCATCCATTTCATGGTTTGGCTGAATTCAGTCACTGGGAGTTTATTTACTCAGAAGTTACCAAGACTGTTTCTTCTCCCTGAGGTCAAAAGCAAAACATCGTGGAAAGAAGGAGATGAAGCTAGTTTGTTGAGTCTCTAGTTTACTTTGTTCCAAATCACAAAGCATTCTGATTGCCACACAGGAAGGCATATTTCACAAGAGGTTCACAGAAAGAGCCAGTGGGTTGCTAAACACATTAATCACACACGAATCGCATGGTTAGAGCTCCAGCTCCAGCCGAGAAGGAGAGATTTTAATGTGGGAGAGAGCTAGCCTGTTTGGAATGGCACCAAGGGCTCCTGCAAACAAGCTTTGCCCCTTGCTGTGAAGGCAAAATGAGTTAATAAAAGTTAATGTGGGTTGAGCATAAAACATCCTAAATTGGCCATGCATCTGTTAGTAGGCCACAGAGTGCAGTCCAGTCTCCTCATTTACAAGTGGGAAAACAGGTTCAGAGGGAGGCAGTGGTTCCTCTGAAGTTCCAGCGGCTCTCCCGCTTGCCTGAAGAGCACGCGGTTGGCTGGTTTCTTTTACTGTGTTTGGACGATTGGGCTTTCTAGTCTTGCCCACACTCCCATCTTGGGTGCCTCTTACAGTTCACTTCTGGGAAGCTCTTTTAGACTTTGAGCTGTTGGCACCTCATGTGAGAATATCTGTGCCCTCACAGGGAAGTTCAATGGGATGTTTTGTTACTCTTGAGCCCCCGTGGAAGCCAGCCTCCGAATTGGCTCTCAGTGGTATTCATACCCTCGTGTACTCCCCTTCCACATTGTACCAGGGTTGTGACCAACAGCATACAACAGACGTAGCAGGATGACATTTCTGAGATGAGATTATAAAAGTCTGCGGTGTCCGTGCTGGGTGTTTTCTTGGACCACTTGTTTGGGAAAAGCAAACTGCCAGGTTTTGAGCAGCCCTATGGCCACGTGGCAAGGAACTAAAGCCTCCAGCCCACAGCCAGGAGGACTGAGGTCTGCCAACAACTAGTACGTGAGCTTGGAAGTGCAGTCTCCAGTTCCAGTCAAGTATCGAAATGACTATGGACCCAGCTGGCAGCCTGCCTGTGATCTCTGAGAGACCCTGAGCCAGAACCACCTGTCTAAGCAACTCCTGGACTCCTGACTCCTAGAAACGAGAAACCGAGATAATCAATGTTTGTTTTAAGCTGCTACATTTTGAGATACCTTGCTACACAGCAAAAGATAACTAATATCCCCACCTTCCCTTACCAGTCAGCCTCCCTTGCACGGTGCACACCTCGGCTCCCTCCACCTTTCCTGTCTTTGCCTTGTGCACTCCCCACCTACCCTCACTTTCTGAGGCCAAATCCGGAAGTCATCAATCCTGCTGAATCACTGTGTTACCAACAGGAGCATGCGGTGGGCTAAAATCGGAATTTGAGAAAGGTTTAATAAAGGGAGTCTTTGCAAAATAGTAAGTGGGGTTTGCAAAATGATCCCAAGGAACATTGAGATACCCCAGGTCTAGTGAAGGTGGGGTGCTGTTTATGGCCTGAAGGGCTAAG